GCCCCCGGCGGGAAGCCAGCAGCTACCGGTGTCGCCGCGCTGCCCCCTTCGGGCCCGCGGCTCGCGCCCGTGCCCTAGCCGCCTAGGTCGGCGACGCTGCAGTGACAGCCAGAGGGACTGGCCGGCGCCCGGCCACTCACTGGCGCTTGCCTAGCTGTTGGCCCCCTTTTCACACATGTTTGGAACGTGTCGGCTTCATCCAATGAGCTGAACAAATTTTCCGTCCTGTGTTGCCACAGAGGGTTATGGGCCAACTTGACGGTGTCGTTCACACAGGGCCGAGGTGTAGAAAGGACAGACCGCGGTCCTCCTGCATAGGCAGGGAGCGGGACCGCAGCGGTGGCTCCTACGGTAGTGTCTTCCGTGCACCGAAGCGGTATTTTGTAGAAGGGGAGGGGGAAAAGTCCCATCAGGAAAAGTACACATCCTCCCCACCTTCTTGGGCCTCAGTTTCCCCAAGTGCGCGATAACGTTCGACTAGGTCCCTAAAAAGCACCTCTTTAGGGCTAATTGAACACTGTATTCTAAGAGCAACAGCCAAGAGGGTATTGATCCCCCTCCCCGTATTCTCGCAGACTTTGGTGGAGGTGAGGTTCTATTGAGTCGACTTTGAGCTACTGAACAGTCCAAGATTAGGTCGGGGGAAAGAAAAGGGGAAAAAAGGAAAACTCAAACACATTTTTCTATCCTGATTTTTTGGGAAGCAAACAAGCAAGAAAGAAAAATTACCTAATTTCCAACACCCTAAACTCTTCAGCTAGTTAAAACATCAAAATAATACCAAGATAAGCTTAGAAGGTATAGGAAACTAACGGTATTTCCCCTGGGTTCAATAACAAATCCGTTTTAATGATGCAGTCTTTTTCAATGCAGAGAGTTCCCCAACAAACTGTTAAAAGAAAAAAAAAAAAATCACTGAGCTCAGAATAATCAAAAAAGGGAGGAACTAACCAGCAATCACTTTTTAAATTTAGAGGAAAAAGTTAGAATTCTGCATGTTTTGTTGCAGAATATTTGCTAGGTATCCAGAAAACTTTACAGACAAAACGCAAATCTAACGAAATGGGTTTAATGATTCATAAGTGTGAAAATTAGTACATAAAATAAAACGATGTGATTATGAGACTCTACCATCTTCATTAAAAGAAATATATGTTTAAGTTAAATTTAAAAGAGGAAGAAGAGGAGGGGGAGGAAAGAAGGAAGGAGGGATCCAAAGAAGAAGAAGGAGAAAGAAGAGGAGGAGGAGAAGGGGAAGGGGAAGGGGAGAGGAGGGGAGGGGGAGGCGGAAGAAGAAGGAGAAGCAGAAGAAAAGAAGAAGAAGAAGAAGAAGAAGAAGAAGAAGAAGAAGAAGAAGAAGAAGAAGAAGAAGAAGAAGAAGAAGAAGAGGTTGTGCCCTTTCTGTGCAAACTGGGCTTTTTCACGATTCATTAAACCCTTTTTGCATAAATGTAATTGGACTCTTCTCATTTACATAAACGAAGGATGAGGTGAAAGAGCTAAGAGCAACCCCAAAGGAGAGAGATATTTCTCTTTCTCCTGTGTCAAATATATTCATATATATAAACTCCAGGAGAGCAGAGCCCCCTTCCTCACCACCCATCCTATCAGACCTGGTATCCATCCTGGCCAGGGAGCCAGGGGTTTATCCACTTTTGAGCATTACCCTACACATAGTGTGCTGCAGTTCTAATCAGCGACACATGTTTTTATCTTATTTTCTCTAACTAAAAAGCTTGGCCTGAAATGACTGACAGTAGGGCATCATATCCTACTTTCTCTCCTCACCTCTGATTGGGTTAAACTTAAAAAGAAAGACTGCACTGTCTTTTAAAGAGCACGGCGCTCTGCTTGGGCTCGCGTTGTCTGGCTAGTATCCTCCATTCAGTTGGTTTCAGCACCTGATTAATTAGTTAATTAGTACTTAGAGCTGACTAAACCCCGCTTGGCAATTTTCATGCCCTGCATGGTGAAATGTTGAATCCAGCATTGAAATTTCTGTCGCACACCCTAATTATTATCACCCCCACTACCTTTAAAGCCATTGCACCAAATTATTATTATAGACAGAGCCAGACAAACTCTGTGGGAATATGTTCTTTCTCAGAAATAAAGGCAGACTTAATATTTTTCACTGTTGCCCTTACCATATTTAAATAAAACAATGAAATGGAAGAGATTCTAATTCAATTAGCCTCCAACCCCTTCGACTGAGAAAATAATGTTACATGGGAAGGATGTTAGAAGAATTACAGCAAGTATTTTTTTAATGTTTTATCAGTTCCCACATGGCAGCGTGTGTTTACAGGGTATATCCTGAGATTAGCTTTGTTCCCATAAAAGTCAAAAATGTCAGGAACAAACAATAGGTACAAAAAGTCGTTTTTACTAACTATAAGTAAATAAGGCTATTTGGGGGGGGCACCTGATGTTTGAAATAACTGACACAGCTTAGAATGAGCTCTCTATAGAAAAAAAATATTCCTTGGCCAATGCTCCGTTCTTCCATAAATTTGGTGTCAACTAGGGAAAAAATAGTACTAGAAAATAAGTTGAGGTACAAACCTAGAAGAGTCTAGTTTTTAGCAATTCTCAACATACCATTGCTGAAAAGAGACTGGCTTGTCATTTCTTTCCAATATTATTGGTAGTTATTTTCACCTGGTAACAATCCTTATCTCTCAGTACGGTGGGTAGCCTGTAATTGTAAGAGCTAAATGGTACACAAAACTGGATACACAACCACACAGACCAGTAAATGGGTCGGACTGAAAGCAAAAGTAAACACCAACCTTAGGAAATGAAAGAAGTTAAAAGATAAGTGTTAAGGACCTTATTCTTTTTGGAGAATAAAACAAGATTTAGTAGCTTTCCACTTAATTTAAATGAAAAGAATCACTACCTTACATATTGCAGTGATAATGTAATGGGGAAAGAAAACAAAAAAGTCTTTGTACAAATGACACCTCCTATAGTTGTTGTGAAGAAACTTTTCCCCTTGGTATCTGCTAACAAATTCTAATTAATGCTGCACATTCCTTTACTGAAATCATTTAATGCGTAACAAGGGGGGTAAAAAGAAATGCTGAATGCTCGTGATTGCCCTGTTAGAATTATGGGAGTGAAAGCCTGAGGCCCCAAACTTACTGTCTATTAAAGCCAAGCTTTGAAAAAGAAATGCAACCTACAAAAGCTGTCAATCTCCCTTGCCCCTAAAGCCTGGGTTCACATGGATTCAAGTGACAGCCCTCCTCCCCCATGCACAATACATCAATCTGTCTCTCCCACAAGCACCCACAGCCCATTGTGCTGGCCGCAGGTGCCTATTATAGCACCCATGGCTGCCTCCCACAGCTCCGCCCCTGAGAAACAGGAACTGCAGACAATGGAGCCCTGTGGGAAGGCAGAGGTGGGTGTTGGGAGGGATAACAGACAGATGGTAAAGGGTATAGGGTAGTAAGGTAGTTTCAAAACAAATGTCAAACACTCAAAATTGTTGCTTTCGTGTGCCCCCTCCCCGTTTTGATTTGCCTTTGCTGCAACCACCATCTGCCATAATTATAAAAACACTTACCTGTCAGGAGGAGTATTTGCTCCCCTGTTTGGGTAGCAGCGGAGGGGATGACCTTCAGTACTCTACTGCTCCTCTTTAGGCTCTAGGTTTCTCAAGGTCACAGACTGAGGAGTTTTTCTTAAGTGACACCCGTAGATAATACAGGGAAAGAATATTTCTAATTTTGCACAAAGTTTACGGTTTCCTTTCAAGCTTAGTTTGGGGCTCGGTACGGTAGCAAGGGTTATAAAGGCTAGTTACTTTGGTAATATATTTGTGAAATCAAAGTGCCAAGAGACTTCTTACAAATACCATACCAGGCTGATAGAAACTTGTAGGCCAGTTCTTTTCTGGTAAGGAGATAGCAAAAGGAAAATGAGGGGAATTTAATAATAAAAGTACTGAAGGTCTCGGACTCAGCCTCTTTTCCTATTCTCAAAAATATAA